GTTGTCGAAAACGAAAAATGCACTCTGCACCTTATTGGTCAAAGTAACGTTTATTTTATTCGACTCAACAATGTTTCGCCCCAAATAAATCACACGTCTTATTTATTGTGAAATTTAAAATATCTTTGGAGAAAATATATATTTGTATTTTTGTTTGATGTATATTCTTAAAAAATATCTATGAAAATAGAACAAAAGAAAAAAATAGCAAATAATACGCGTGATTGACCATCAAGAACAATAAAGTATAAACCTAACGCCTTCCAACTATATAGGGACATACCAACGACCATTGTCTATACAAATGGCGATTATTTTATGGCATTGCCTTAAGTTTTCTCACGGATTTTCTATTTATTATTATTTACCTCTGCAGATAGTTCAAACTTCACAAGGTGCCATTCCCTTTTGACACTGTCCATACTGAACTAAGTTTAATAGATACACACACACACGCACACACATACCATGAATATCGATTTCTATACACATTACATACGATGCCACTTACTGCTCATTTCCATTTTTATTTATGTAGCTCAGAATGTTGGTTACGTTTACAAGTAAGGCAGTGTTGATTTCTGTCGACACTATCTCCCTCTTTCTTTCTCTCTCACTCTTTCCCTTTCTCTGTATATATATATATATATATATATATATATATATATTTTCTCTTTTTATATATATATATATATATATATATATATATATATATATATATATTATGGCATAAAAAGCAAGAAATTTTATATTATAGGCTATGATAGATTTAAAACAAAAACACACACCAGTCAACCGGTTTCGTCCCCTCTCATCAGAACTGTTAACGGGGAACAGAGAAGAGAGAGAAAAAAACGATAGTCTGTCATGGATGACGTGGACAGGGAGAAGAAAAAATATAATTATAAAAATTATACCAAAAAGATGCTAGAAACGCAGTACAGCAAGTCCAAGCAAACAATCTCTTTGTTTACAAAGAGCAGGTCGCCTAACGCCTTCCAACTATATAGGGACATAACAACGACCATTGTCTATACAAATGGCGATTATTTTATGGCATTGCCTTAAGTTTTCTCACGGATTTTCTATTTATTTTTTCATTTGTCCGGTATTTTTTTCCGATTGAAATTAAGGGTATGTTTTTGAAACCATAACACTGTGCGCGATAAACAGTTAGTGAATACCTCGGTGTGGAGTCTAGGAAAACATGACCTCTGCAGATAGTTCAAACTTCACAAGGTGCCATTCCCTTTTGACACTGTCCATACTGAACTAAGTTTAATAGATACACACACATACACACACACACATTCATCCAGGCCCAGAGACAGAAAACAGCCGCAGATTTTAACATTTCCACCATCATGTCGGAATGAGGTTCTTTGCCTGGTAGCAAGTGTTGGCTTTTCTCCAAACATGACAGTTTTGATTGTGACCAAACAATTCTATCTATGATTCACCTACCCGGAGAATGAACATCCAGAACGCCTATGGTTTGTCAACGTGTTCCCTGGCAAAGTTTAAACGGACAGCTTTTTTCTTCGTTGAGGGCAGCGCTCCCCTAGCAATTCTCCAATGGATGCCATGTCCATTCAATTTTCGTGTATTTACATTTACCCAAGAAGCTGCCAGCGAGGTCTGAAACTCTCTGGAGGTGATGTGTGGGTTGGCGTTTACTTCATTTATTATTTTTCTAGTGATTCTTGGTTAAAGTTTTGATCGGCGTCCACTTCTAGGAAGAGTCCGCTCGTGTTGAATGCCCGCCATTTATAAATTATTTGTCTTACAGTGCATGTGTGGAGGTGCATTATTTTTGCGATGGTCTCATCAATGTCATCAGATATCTCCCTTCGTCTCGGCATTGTTGATCTGAGAGGGATTACAGTAGATTTGTTGGGTTCCCTTCTCTTTTAATCTATGTTGCCCAACCAATTTACTAAGGATGTCTCATTTGATTGGTCAGCTTAAATTGAACAATTAAGCAACCATATGTGTTTCAGCCGAATTTATTATCTACTTGACTTCAGCAATACAGAGAGGTGGGTGCTCCCATATTTTTTCACATATCAAATTGTCAGTTTTGTAGAAATAAATCACACTGTTTTAAATAAATAATTAAAATATATACTTTTTCTGTTTGTTATAATTATTTGGACAATCTACTTAATGTTTTGATGCACATTTAATAGGCTTATTTTTTTCACAATAACAATGATCTTGTCTGAGGGTTTCACACACTTTCAAGCGGAACTATAGATAGATAGATAGATAGAGATAGATAGATAGATAGATAGATAGATAGATAGATAGGAAACGACAGTAGATAGATAGATAGATAGATAGATAGATAGATAGATAGATAGATAGATAGGAAACGATGTTCATGTTCAAATCGTGCTAACAAAACTACAACATCACAAATAATCACCTTCTTTCCCTTTCCATCCACCAAACATAAGTGGAGAAGTTGAAGGCCGATCAAGGTGCTGTATCATCAGTGATTGATAGAGTGATTTAAGTATATATATATATATATATATATATATATATATATATATATATATATATATATATATATATATATATATATATACACAATTGCCATCACGTGTGCATAAAATCAAGCATGTTTTGAATGGTGGAATTGTATCTTAAACATGAGCACTTATTAACCTAATTCTTTCCAGAAATGGAAACAGTTCAAAGTGCAGGCAGCAAACTGTACTCAACAAACAAAAGTTCATTGTTTGTGGCACATTTGCTTAAAAGTCCGGTTGCTCCCACCTCTTAGGAAGGCATCCAAAGATGAGGAGAGTGAAGTAACAAATTGGTCCTACAACGAATGATAGAGGCTGATAAGTAGGAAAAAAAACGCTGGAGAAGGAAATGGAAAAAGAAAGAAAGAAAGAAAGAAAGAAAGAAAGAAAGAAAGAAAGAAAAAATTGCAGGTAAAAGGATAGAATAAGAAAGAATTAAAGAAGTAATTACAGATAAAAAAAAGAAAGAAAAGAAGAAATAAAGAATTACAAATAATAATTACAGGTAAGAAGAAAGAAAGAAAGAAAGAAAGAAAGAAAGAAAGAAAGAAAGAAAGAAAGAAAGAAAGAAAGAAAGAATAGAAATAAAAAGTAATTCCAGATGAGAAAGAAAGATACAAAGAATCAAAAAACGAAACAAAGAAAAAAGAAAAGAAAGATAATGAAAAAAGAAAGATGTAATTAGAGGTAGGAGGAAAAAAAGAAAGTAAGAAATAAAAGAAAGAACTTCAAATAAGAAGTAATTACAGCTATGGAATAAAGAAATAAGAATTATATGGAAAATATGTTATAAACATTGATGATTGCAGAAACAGAATCGAATTAAGCAAGGATTTTTTTTTAATGAAAGAAATAAGAAAAGATTAATGAAGAAAGAAAATAAAAGAAATAATATGTGAAGAAAAACTGAAACTATCAAAACAAAACGAATGAAGCAAAACAGGAAAGAGTGTTAGTTTAAAAAGTTCATTTGAATACAAAAAAACAATATCACAACAAAGAGATCGAAAGAAAAAATTAAAATAAAATGTGAAAAGGAATAAAACTTAAACTACATTGAAAATTTTTACGAATAAAAAAATAAAACAGAAAAGAAAATTAAGAAAAAATTAGTAGAAAAAGCACAAGAGAAAGCGAATGTACGATGAAAAAACGTCTAAGAAACACACAAATAAGTACAAGAAAAAAGAAGTACAAGAATCAGAATTAAAGAAACGAAGTACGAGAAAATGAAAAAGAAAGAAATAAGAGTACGGGAAACAGAATCATAGAAAAACGAGAAAAAGAATGTAAAAGAAAGTATGTATAAAAAGGAAAGAAAAAGCAATGAAAAGAAGAATAGAAGAAAAAAGTTAAAAGAAGAGAGAAAATCAAGAAAATCAAGAAAATAGAAGAGAAAGGAAAGAGAAAAGAAGGATAAAGGAAATAACGGGAGAGAAGGAAAATGCCAAGGAGGAAAAATATAATTATTCGAAAAGAAGGAATCGTCTGAAAACTAAGAAAAAAAAAAGGGAAAAGACGATAAAGTAAAGAAAAATATAGAAGTAAAAATTAATAAAAGAAAAGGAAAAAAAAATGAAGGAGATAAAACTAGGGGGGGGAGAAGAAGAATTGAAGAAAAAGAAAACAAGGAAAAAAAGAAAGATAATGAAGAAAGAGACGAAATAGAGAGGTTGAAAGTTCAAAAATCCTTGGTGGCTGTCATGTTAAGGGAAAGGTTAAACCTCCACCCTGGCAAAGACGTTCCATTTACGTGAAATTGTGCACCGACTGGAAAGGCTTCAAGCAAAAAAAAAAAATCATCGATTTTTGTCTTTTTACTTAAAATCTCACTGTCACATAATTGGACATGCAAGAATCAGACGTCCTTAGATTTTCTTTATGTAAAATTGATTTTGTTTCGTTTCTGTCTTTTGCGGCAAAGCGATTTATTACTATACATGCGTATTTCATTTACTTTCTACTTATAAATTGAAGATAAATTATTTTTAGCGTGGAATCGATCGCAAATGAGGAAAACGGATGGTAACACATTAAAATTCCTAGTAAACTAAATCCTCGATTTAACGGAATAATAGGAGGAAACGTATGCAGAAATACTAATTGTCCGTTAAATGCGTAAGTAACCTTGAAGGACACTTTTATGCTGTTTGTTTTGTTCATTTTTTTGTTTTGTTTTTTTTTTAATTTTTATATAAAACAAAGCTTTATTCGTAAATATAATATTAAATTTACTATATATATATATATATATATATATATATATATATATATATATATATATATATATGAAAGTCATTGTTAATTTAGTTAGATAGATATATACATACACATAATGGAAATAGATAAGTGGTTTACGCGTCACAGGTACACGGCTTATTTTTTTATGAAGCTTAACATAGTCTGACCAGAATCTCTGTTGAATATTGAAGTCTATACGAAGATTGCTATTACGCTACGAAAATGCGACCTTATACAGACATCTCTCTCTCTCTCTCTCTCTCTCTCTCTCTCACACACACACTATCTATCTACCTATCTATCTATCTATCTATCTGTCTGTCTCTCTCTTTTTCTTTCTCTCTCCTGCTAAAACGATTGTCAAAAGCATCATACTGCACACCAATAGCTAGTGTTCTGATTTGGATCCTTATTGAGTAACTCCTTATCATGACTTTGTGCCCCGACTAAGTTATGCGAAACAAGCAACTATAATGGCTTCCCCAAACCTATGCATGTCCTTTGTAAAGTCGGTTCAACTTGTATACGTACACAAATAAAAATAGAAAATAAAACGCAGAAAGGGTAACGCGTACTTGAAACTTGCTATATCATTACCTTGAAGACATCTGTCTGCCATTTTTATACTTTGGTTGCCATCTTTGCTGATTCTTGGCCCGTAGATAAACTCTTTTGCTTTGACCTGCGCAATGTTTCTGTGACTCAAATCGATCGCAATGATAAAAAAAAAAGTGTTCAAAGCCCGGACATAGTTTCATGACTCTGTTCATGACACGAATATCCGCACTTTTGAAGGTCGTCGACCTATAAGTGTGGTTAAAGTCCAACAAGGTTCAGCTGAAATCAGGTATTTTTTTCTTTCTAAAGCTAAAAATGAAGCAATTGTTATGAGAAGAAAGGGTCTGACAAAAGAAAATATTTTCCAGCACTTAATACCAAGATAGAACAAAAAAATCTAAAACCTGAATATAAAATCATATTTGCTGTTAACAACGACATATAATACCTAACAATCATTAATTTTCTAGCGTCGTCGTTTTGGTCTTATGAAAGTTATTGGTGGATGGTGTCACTTTGAGAATTGATTGCTTGCGTAGAATGCTAAAAACAAATAACGAAAGAGAAATATACAAAAAACTGAATGAATACGACACAACACACGAATGTATACAACACAGCGGTCGACTCAGAAATGGTTTAACTCGGTTCAGCAATGTTGTTCGAGAACCAATAATCGAGGTATTTTCATCTCGAATTTTCTGCAACCTCGGTTCTCGAAAGTCTCACATGTCGAACAAATCATTTTTCGAACAGAAAATTCGAGATGAAAATGCCTCGATTATCGAACAAACTTTCGGTTCTCGAAAAACATTGTCGAACCGAGTTAAACCATCAGGAATCATTTCTGGATCAACCGCTATGTTGTATACATTCGTGTCTTGTGCTGACTTGTTTGTCTACATTGATTCTTGTTGGAAAAATATTTTCTGTTTACGAACATTTCGGATTACGAACAGTCTTCAGGAACGAATTAGCTTCGTGAACTGAGGTTCCACTGTATATATATATATATATATATATATATATATATATATATATATATATATATATAAAGTGTATTTCGACAGCAATAATTCCATCAAACATGTTTAGTTAAATAATATTGACAAGTCCCGTCTATCAGTTTTTTTTTTTCAAATTTACGAAGTATGTCTTTTTTTGTTATCGGTAAAGTTCATTTTATATTTATTTTATATTAATTGTTGGTACAAATGTTTTCAAGAATTGTCCTATATATATATATATATATATATATATATATATATATATATATATATATATATATATAATCGTTTCACTGCAAGCAAGGCGACAGTGCACACCTAGAGCGCGGGGGGTTTACAGGGAGTGAAATCGAATGAGAATGCGAAGTGAAGATTGAAAATGGGGAGGATTGAAGAAAGGGCAAAAAATGAACGGGCTTCAAGAAATCAGAAGATTACGATTGACGTTTCATTTACATTTTTGAAGATTGTAGTTATCAGAGAAGCAATAAATCGGACGGGAATTCCACAGGTGGGTAGTGCGAGAAAAGAAACAGAGTAGAAATCACGGTATCATCTATCTAGTTCAATAGTAAAACGCTGAGACCTAGATGTTAATCTAGTAGCACGCTTAAATTTATGTAGTCGGATCAGCAGAAGAAAAAAAGCTTGTCCGAGCAGTTACCATAAACATATTTATAGAACAGGCAAAGGGAAACCATGTCGCGTCGGCGAGAAAGTGACTAGAGACGAGATGCCTGATCAGGGTCGATTATGTTGCAGATACAATTTCTCGAATTTGTCAAGAATCACGAGATACACTGTAAGAGCACCAGTCCAAATGTGGCAGCAGCATTCAATACAGGGACGAATGGTAGATTTATGATACAAGAAGAGAAAACTTTTTTGGTATGACACAGTGAAACAACTTTCATTACAGTAGATGCAGCAACTGACTCGATATAGTCACTTTACTTCATATCAGAGGAAAAAATGAGTCCAAGAAAGCGTAGAATGTTACTCTCTGTTATGGTCCGGTTCCTTGAACCACGGTGATAGTCCAAGGTAGAACCAATAAAGAAGATGTAATAGAAGTGACAGTGACTTACCAGGAGCAAAGCGAATTCGCTGCCTCGCGTGTCGAACCATTCTCTGAGAGTTGGTTGCGCGTGCGCCTACTGCCATTTTTATGCAGCAGACTTATTTGCATAAGAGAACCACGCTACCGATTAAAAACCCGGCGTGTGGACGTGGGAGGCCACTGCTCTTCTAGGCTTCGGCGTGACTAGACGGATTGCAGACAGAAAGCGTCAGCAATTTCTGGACATACGACAGAAGAACTCGAAGGCGGAGATGGAATAACACAGATATATTACAAACAGGAATATATACTGAGAAGTAGAAATGTGTTAGTACGAACAATCAGGTTTAGTAGTAATTGTCTGAACGCGACTCTGTTTCGGACTGCCTCTGACTCGACTGACTGACTGATGGACTTCTAACGGACCTCACTCCAGACTTCAGACGGAACGCTATTTAGTCACCCACCCACGAGGGCATCATGTGGCACAAGGCCGGTTTAACGTTGGATCTCTGAGCCCGTGGGCTCGGCCAAAAATATGCCCTTTGAACCCGTATAAACGGTTCCATGGTCAGTTTACCTCCCCGAAATCATCAGACTTTACTTCCAAAGGTTGAAACGAAATATATATATATATATATATATATATATATATATATATATATATATATATATATATATAATGGTAATAGTAGCCTATTCTTTATAAGGAAAGATTCGGCATTCATTAACCGAGTAGCCAGTACTACCGTTGATTGAAATTTATAAATTCTTTCTTTTAAGACAATTTTTCAGGAAAATATATTTCTCAAGTTCACTGTTATCGCTCTTTCCAGTATTGATATGAGGAGGTTTCTTTCCGTACCTTTTATTTAATGTAGTGTGGAATGTCAACATCTTGATTATGTCATTGTTTTATCTTCGATTGCGTGTAGAATCCCTTTTAGTTGTTACTGTTAAAAGGGATCAAGTGATGTAGTTTATACCATCAGTTCTTTGTGATTCTGTAGCGCCAGGCCACAAGCTTCACTTGCTCAAAGCCATTGCTAATCATTTATGCTAGAATGTGATTGTATACAGCTGACAATTTAGATATTTCTTAGCGGGTATAGGGAGAGAGAGAGAGACAGACAGAAAGACATAGAGACGTTGAATAATGCACCTGTATATGTGTCGGGAGTGGTGTGTTCACCTGTGTTTATGAAAGAAAAAGAGAATACTCATGTTTTCTTAAGCACTGAATGATATAAATGGAAAAATAATTTTACAAAACTGTACTTTTTTAAAGAATTTTTAATCATTTTTCTTTTATTTTGGTTTCTGCCATTTATTTCCTCTTCTTTTTTAATTCCCCCACCACCCCATTCCTTATTCCTCTAACCATCCCCACCTTACTCCGAACTCTTCCTGTTATCGTACTCCATAACCCAATCGGGAAAACTTCCAGAATCAATGGCTGCAGATCTTGGGGCAATTTTTAACACTTAAGCAATCCCATGATGCCTCGCCGACTGGCAGACATCTTTATTATAAATTATCGCCTGCAATCAGTAACTGCATATATATATATATATATGTGTGTGTGTGTGTGTGTGTGTGTGTGTGTGTGTGTGTGTGTGTGTGTGTGTGTGTGTGTGTGTGTAATTATAAAGAAGAAAATTTCAAATAATTCTGCTTCTGACAGGTTTGAGAAATTATATTCTACTGGGATCTAATTGTCAATCTTTTCTTTTTATGTTGTTGAGAGCAAAGTTAGTTACCATCAGCGCCTCCATGATTTGTTTCCATTTCGTTCGTGAAAGCACAGTTGTTATTTAAAAACTTAAGTACTCAGTATGTAACAAATATGCAGGTGAGGTGCCGTCACACAGGCGACCGACCAGAATTAAATCTGAGAAAAGGCCTCATATACTATAGAATACATGTTAAAAGGCTTCAATCTCCGCTATAAGCAAAGTAAAAACGCTAATGATGCTTAAAGCGATCAAACAATGAACAAGCAATTTAGAAAAGAACTTTACATACTAAACACAAGTATTTTAATGAATATACAAAATATTGTCCTACCTGATATTTGCCCTCAACGTTTTTTTTTTTTTTTTTTTTTTTTTTTTTTTAAATGCCAAGTCCCTTCAGGATCTCGACAATCATTTATTATCACTGAATTGTCTTGATTTCTTGGGAAAAATAGTGGTTTTTCTGTTGTCTTTTCTATCATTTTTAATTCGGTTTTGTTCTTTCCCTAGACCTGTGGTTCCAAACGGCGTGGCGTGGCTCATAGGTGTGGCGGAAGAAGATAGAAGGTGAGGAGGAATGATTGAAAGACAATCTAAGATTTAGAAACTGTTTTTAAAAAATTCATATGCCAAAAATAAATATGATTTCAAAATTTGAAATATTATCATGGATTACTTGTAACTGCATGCATGAATCCCAGTGTAACCCGCTGTCAGCCCTAGAAAACGGTAACCAATGTCACGCAGTCATTTGTCAAGTTCCTTCAGATCACCGTGGTTACCATTTAGCTGACTCTTCACACGTTAGTGCGTGACTCTTTGTCATTGGTATCGTAACGGTATGCACGGTTTTCTCTTGACCTAGCTGGTGTTTGTCTGTTCCCGACCACTCACTCATCTGCCACGTTGTGTTTTTGATCTCAGAGGGTGAAAATTTCGCTGATGAAACAAACTTGTGAAGACGATTGGACAATTTGGGAGCTACACACAAAAGAAACAAGAATCCTTTGGAATAAAGAATTAACTCGGGTTAAAAAGGTAACAACGATTTTGTTTATATATGATTTGTTGTACAGTGTAACCCGGATATAAGAGACCCGGATATAAGAGAAACCCGGATATAAGAGATATTTTCTCTGGTCCCAAATTAGAGCCTGTGTTAATGTATATAAAATAGACCAAACCCGGATATAAGAGAAACCCGGATATAAGAGACTTCTTCTCCGGTCCCGACAACTCTCTTATATCCGGGTTACACTGTATACAGCGGTTTTAATCCTTCCGACTTGACAAATGACACTAGGATCCTCTTTTGGTGTTTGCAGCTTGTGTTAGTTGTAACTTAAACTTCTAGGTTCTGCTCTTCAGGTCCGGCACAAGATCTTGGTCAGGAGATTTTAGCAAACGATGCGGATTCCAGTAACAGTAGTGTGAGGACTGTCTGTGTCGCTCTCTCTTTCTCTTTCTCTCTCTCTCTCTCTCTCTCTCTCTCTCTCTCTCTCTCTCTCTCTCTCTATCTATCTATCTATCTATCTCTCAGTGTAAGCTGTCCAAAACCTCTAGCTTATATGGAGGTCCTGCGTCCAGCAGGGTTAGGTTTTCACTAGGGTATGGGTTCGGTTGTCTTCTACACTAAGCATCAACTTTTTCTAAATTTCCATATATAAAAATACATTTCCAAATCTGGGTTTGTCCAGCCACCTTTTCAGAATGTCCAGAGGAATCAAGCCGCCCCTTAAATCTCTTTAGGTCTCACCTTTCATCGATGCTAATCTCTCTCTCTCTCTCTCTCTCTCTCTCTCTCTCTCTCTCTCTCGCTCGCTCGCTTCTTTCTCTTCCTTCTCCCACTTTCCCAGAAGCCAACTCCCTGGGCTGAAAACAAAAGGGATTTTCAGTCATTAATCTTTATCTATCAGCTTTGCCCATTCTGGAATCTCTCGATCGACCAGACCACTCCAGAATTGGAAAAGGAAAGAAAAATCAGTTCCACTCACCTTAAAACCAAAATATATCTTTTCTCTGTCTATACATTTTTTATCCGATCGAACAGACCACATTGCCTTTTTAGCCCATGATCATTTCAAAATAGTAATTAATTTTTCACCGAAAATGTCACCGAAATTATAATGAGGAGCGCGTACAGTCGGTCTCTATCTCTGTGGGGATACTTTTCTTCTGGGTGGCTTATTCAAAACAGATGTTTTTCTGGTTCTTTCTGTCCGGAGGAATCGTGAATATTATTTATATCGGCAACCGCCCTGGTTTCTTTATCGTCAACATATGTTTTTATTTTATTTGATATCTTCGTGGATACCTTAATAATCTTATCGGTGGGAAGTGGGGGGGTAGTGTTTGTTTTGCTCAATCTTATTGAATTCCGTCTAGTTAAATTTGCGTTGGATTCTCCTTGCAATTATTTCAAAAACAAGATTTGTCAACGCATTTCGTTTTTTTTTTTTTTTTTTTTTTTTCTCAACTTTTCAATTCATCTTCCTGCAATTTCAACAATTATCATCCAGTTAGTAGACACTCTCTTTTTCCTTCTTGCTTTCTCTTCTTTTTTTTACCAACCTCCGGAGATCTCAGTGTCACATCAGTATAAATAGTCATTAATAATTATTGGCCGATTTTTCAGCTGTGATTTTTTTTTTTTTGCATTATATCAAGTATTAATATTATAACTAGGGTCCGCAAATTTGAGGAGAGTGTTATCAATGATAATGTTCTGACTTCGCATGCACGGTTATCTGCCTTTAATCCTTTCTCTGTTTTTATTTTCCCATGTACTTTCATCACATAAAATTTGGTGAGGCACACACAATTTTAAATTCCGAAAATGCGGCCCAGAGAAGAAAAAAAGTTTGGGAACCGATGTTCTAGACTATCAGTCATCAAATGCAAATGAGCTCGGTCTGTAATGCTAATTAACCTATAGTTGAAGATTTGAATTTTTTATCGAATTGACCCAAACGAATCGGTAAAGCCACTAAGACGCAAGGGTTTTTACTGTGTGTGAAAAAATTGAGAATAATAGAAGAGTAATCAAGAAGACAGTAAATAACGATCGGTATTGTCTGCGAAAGTGAACGCAACTGATTAGGCTGAAATTTGAACTCGGCTCGACCTCCACTTTCCGCGTCGATAATCGTTAAACCTGGGTACATAAACGACAAGTAAGAATGGAAGTCACCGTCATTGTTTTAAAAAGGCTGCATACAAAACAGAAAAAAATACAGAAAAATCAAAATAATGATAAACAAACCTGAGAAAACAATTAAAGGAGTTGGTGTCGCTAATGTAAACAGATAGAAAATAGGCAAATTATAAAGAACACCGTCTACAATGATGAAAGCAAACCAAATCATTACTTTGAAGTAAAGACCACAAAGCGAAGAAGTATATTTAAACTGATATTTTAACAGTAACCTTTAACGATGAGTAGAGCTACATTGGATGAATTGGCTAAATAAACTAGACGTTGGGTTTTTTTCTTTCAAATACTCAATGAACACAATTTAGTAAACAACAGAGTTGTAATAATATTTTGGGCCAGGCTTGTTGGCAGTAAAAATATAGATTCCTTTAAAGTTGATGATGGCGTCAAAAAAATACCGTGTGTAAATTCTTGGATAAAGCACACAAGAATGTTCTAGGTAATGGTGATGATAATATTAGTCGTTTCCGTATAAGGAAACATTGGGCATTCATTGACCAAACAGCCAGTTTTACTTCCGGCTGAAATTTATAAAGTCTTCCTCTTAAAACGCTTTTTCAGGAAAATAGGTTTCCCAAGTTCATTAAATGTTATCGCCCTTTCCATTGTTGATGGAAGCTTTTTTTTCCTAACCTTTTATTTGAAGTAGTGTGGAACGTCAACCTCTTGATTATTTTATTATTTTCACGTCAAGTTACGTGTTCTATACATTTTAGTTGTTGCAGCTGTTGAAAGTCCTCGAGTGATGTGGCGTCTGTCATTTGGTACATTTCTTTGTGATTTTCAGGCACCAGTTAATTCAAGTCAAGTCTCCATCACATTCTGCAAAACTGATTGTTGCCCACTTTGCCAAAAAGGTTTCAAAAGAAACCAAATCAAGGGAATAACTGTAGCCTCTTTTATATACTAATATTCACCCAAGAGCCACTCAAGGTAAAGGGCTGTTGTGTGATGTTGCACGAGTGTAAGAAAAGGTAAGAAGTGCAATTCATGAGGTCCAATCAAATCTGTCTGGAAATATTGTACTCTCTCTGTCTCTGTCTCTCTCTTCTCTCTCTCTTCTCTCTCTCTCTCTCTCTCTCTCTCTCTCTGTCTCTCTCTCTATCTCTTTCTCTCTCTTTGTCTATGGTTACAATTGCTCTTGATTCGTAACAACTTACCTCCCCTGACCTCTCCCAGTTTTATCTTTTCTTGGATGTGGGTTTGATTTGTTTTTTACGGCTTATCAACCCTTTATGACATATTTTGGATTTTAAGAATAATTCTTTTTTTTTTTTGTGAATGCTTTTTTGCTTTAAAAATCTTTTGAGGATAATAAAGATTTTTCAAGACACAATTATTATTATTTAACCCATAGCTGGGTGGAAGTGATTTTTTATGTGATATAAGGGTTCATGTAACAGCAAAAGCGTTTATAAACAGAAGAAATTTCTTTTTATTAATTCCTTCGCTTCTTAATGCAATAAGTACGGACATCGAATTCCAGTCGAATCTATTACTTACGTACTAATACCCTTGGGAAAGGTATGAATCCTCTTCTCCTCCTAGCTATGAATAAATAGCAGGACATCCCGGGTTCAGAAAGCCTTGGATGGCAACTGGTCTACTGCAGAAAGAAATGGCAACCTACTGCGGGAAAAAATCTGCCTCGTCAGTATTGTATCGAAAGATACATGATCGCCTAAGCGTGTATCACGTTTGGCACGTAACTCACTGATAGGCGACACAAGAGAATGAAGAAAAGGCCAAGCAAAATAGAGAAATATTGACTGAGCATGGTCGACAGTCCGTACGGAAGTAAAAATTTACATCCACCATGTTAATCCCTTGTTAATCCCTTTTAACTCCTTAGTCCCTCAAGTTTCATACTTCTGACTTTAGAGGTGTCGTAGCGCAAAAGAATTAAACTTCTAGCGAGTTTCCACGAAACATGCTTCTTCAAATCATCTTTACACTTGGATATACCAGTGGCTGTAAGCTTGGATGTGCGGGTGGTGTAATGGATAATGGCTTGAAATTGTTAAAAGGAGAGCCGAGTTCAAATTGCTGTTGTGTTTGTTATATTCACTTACGCACAATTACACTTGGGAAAGTTATGAATCCACCTCTTCTCCACCCGGCTATCGGTTAAGTAGTAAGATTCGTATCACTCAACCATTATTATCCAAAAAAAAAAAAAGTTTACTATCAAAGAAAAATATTTTCTGGCTTTAAATAACCTGAAAAATGATTGATAAGCCGTAGATAACGAATCGAGCAATTAAAAAAATCATATTTAAGACATGCACAAGACAAAACACAAATACAAAATGTCGGTCTATATTTCCGAGATTAAGTGCTGTAACTATTTATATCGTTCGCACCGTTGCTATATTCACGAAGTTTCGGTTATTGTACACTCTGCTCTTCTTCAGCTGATATTCGTTGGAATTTCTAACCGAAGCCTTTTAATCTACAGGGTCATGATACGTGGTATTAGAACAATCTACCCTGATGGATTATATAAAAGGTTCGGTTCAAAATTCCAACGTATATCACCTGAAGAAGGTCGGATTTCACCACGGCCGAAGCGTCGCGAATTTGGTTATAAAAAAAGAGGACGACAGTCCGAACGATGTAAAGAGTGTAAATACAAATATTCTGTTAAAATATTTCTGTTGCTTCATGTTAATATTTGGTAAAAATGCAAAAATTTTCTGCGATAATGTCGTGGTAAATCCGAAATGGAAATTCTAGTGTTTGTCTTATTTGCTTATCACTAATAAGTCCGTAAAATTCAAGAAATGGAGCAAAAAGATGTACGTCTAAATGTTACTCTTAACATAATGTTCATACACACGGTCAGTTGTCACATGAATTTCATTGGAATTGACATTTAGTATTCAAATTGTGTTATAGAATCGATTTATTTTCACTCTCTGCTTCACTTAACCCCATCCATTACATTTAATATATATATATATATATATATATATATATATATATATATATATATATTTCACTCGCGATATTTATCGGTGGTCGACTATATGTATCATTGACTTTCCTTTTTATATACAATAATTACATTGGTTTACAAATTTCGGCAAGCAGAAGAGTTGTAGCCTACTTTTTGGGTGCTGATTTCAAATATGAAATCCGTTTTCACTCATTACCTCTAGTTTTTAAGATATACATGTATACTTATTCTGTTTTTTTTTTTTTTTTTTTTTTGTTTAACGGCATATCAACTCCTTATAGGTCATTTAATGCCGAAATTTAATTTTCTTAGTAGATTTGAAATAATAAAACTATCTTATTCAGCTCTTACAATTGAAAACAGCCTCGATGATACTTAACTTTTGTGCATATACATGTTTGTGTAGACATAATTCCTAGAGGCGGTGATATATGTGTTTTGTGTTGTGGAAGCTATATTTCGGAATCCAGTTTGATTTCTTTAAGAAATTGTAGGATATTATATGGCTTAATATCATGAAAGTGTTTTTTCATGTTGGTTGATTGGTTGGTTGGTTTTGTTTAGTGGCATATCAACACCTCTATGGGTTATTTAATGCTGAAATGTAAATATTTTGAAAGCAATTGCATGATTTCAATTACAGATAAAATGTATTGTTAGCCATTTGCTATAAAGAGATATTGTTGGTAATTTTTTATAGAAAAATATATTGCTGGTATTTTTACGACAAAAATATTTTTTATACTTTCATAGTGTTTTGCTTTTGTTTGGAGGTTCACTACTTGCCCATATCTGGGACCCTAACAGGTGCTACCACCACAGGTCAGAGTGGACCTGGGAACAACAGCAATTAAAAAGTGGTTTCATGCCCCTCAAAACATCCAGTCTTCCGATCAGAGGCCTTACTGCCGGATTTAGTTTATCGTCATACCCAGCACTTACATAGACGTAAAATATATACATGTACATGTATTCGAGGCTGCCAGATATATCGAATTTAGGACACTGTGTGTTTTTTTTATTTTTAAGAATTGTATTTTTTTATTAAAAAAAAATGACATAATGTCTGCCTTTGGCTGCCTACGCTCAGCCCTGAAGGCTAAGTTTCTGTGCAGCCAAATGAAATTCTCTTCAACTTCGAATGCTCGGTACACATGGACGTAATCATATATATGATCAATTTTTATGTTGTTTTTTCACATTTTTGTGAGCTAATACATATCTCTACAATAGCTTCAGTCACTTCAAAACACCGGCATGTATTAACAAGGCAAATTCATTCTGTTATCTGTGTGGGGAATTCACGACAGTTGCAGAGCATCGAACAATTACTCCTCTACGGGGAACCACTTACGTTCATTATTTTTACTGTAAAATTACAGGTCAGGACAAATCATGATCCACACATTTCTGTTGTAAACATAGGTACAATGGATTAACTGTATAGTTTCATGACAAAAAATCAGTCTTCAATTTTGCTGTTTCGATGGTCTGGAGAGAGAAACGATGATCTGGAGACAGCAACGATAATCAGGAGAGAGCAACGACGGTGTGAAGAGAGCAACGATGATCTGGAGACAGCAACGATAATCTGGAGAGAGCCACGACGCTCTGGAGAGAGCAACGATGATGTGGAGAGGGTAACGATAATCTGAAGAGAGCAACGATGATCTGGAGAGAGCAACGATGACCTGGAGAGATAGCAACGATGATCTGGAGAGAACCACGACGGTCTGGAGAGAACAATGATGGTCTCGAGAGAGCAACGATGATCTGGAGAGAGCAACGATGGTCTCGAGAGAGTGACAATGGTCTGGAGAGAGCGACAATGATCTGGAGAGAGCAGTGATGATCTGGAGAGAGCAGTGATCTGGAAAATGGAACGAGCCATGCAGATTATTGTTAATTCTGTCTAACAAATACAACTGGTTTCAAAAAAAGTCAAATATTCCAAACTTCCATTTTTCTTACTCAGATTATCTCCTTGTCACTACACCTCCCAGATCATAAAGATCTTATTCCTTCATCATATGAAAAATTGCCTTCAGAAGAAAGTTATGCCAAGTCGGTCTCTTCTGGAGACAATGTCCCTGTTTCTTTGGTAGCAAGTGGCAGTGAGCCCCACTGAATCACCCAGGAAGCCTTAAATGACCTTGCCCGTGATGTACCGATCTAAGCAGCGGTTAGAGCTCCTGGCATCACGGTTTAAGCCATGGAAGCTGTTCCCGACAGATGTAAGGACCACCAGTTTCAAGACACGAAAAAAGGACTTCACTTCATTCTTCGACATGAAAAATAGGTTGTGCGATTGCAGAACTTCTTATCTTAAATGAACAAAGACGAAAGCATTTAAGTCAGTCTGCCATGGCTTCCTTGGTAATACACAGATACCAGATTACCAAGAGTGTATCCAGAAGTTGTTACAGGCTTATGAGGATATGGGATACCGAATGTAACCCACTTTCTCCACTCCCTCATTTAACTTCTTTCCTCTGAACCCCAGTAAGCGATGTGTATTGAGAAAGATTCATTCAAAATTCATTTTCTCTTCTCTCTGAATCTCAGAGTAATACGTGATAAGCATAGAGAAAATTTCCTCCAAGATATTACTAAGAAACTACAATGGCAAATGGAACCTCAGTATGATGGGGGACTTCTACTGAGTTCTCCTGCGCAACATACCGGATGCAAAGTACACGAGATCGTTCCCAAAATTCACTTCTGACTATCCGTTGTACTATAATGTTTATGTATAGTATTATCTATATAATTTATTTCCATCAATGTTCTGTATTTATGCTGTTTTTGTTTTTGCAATATGCCTTTGTAATATATAAAATAAACACATTATATTTTGAATTTATATATAGTATAATAAAAATATATGTGAAAGCAAAACAAAACTGGAGGTGTTATAGCAAAATTATTAAGAAATTTAAATTCACCGCATGAGAATTAAGAAAAAACCTGTTCACATGCTTGCCTCGGAGAAATATTTTTTTTTTTTGTTATTATTCGATATAGCTGTTTAGTACTTTATTGGTAGAAAATCTCTTCATATTTACATTCGTCAAATTATATAACTTTGCATATACTAATACATGTCAAATATACATATATATTTTATCCTCCTTGGGTCTACCCATACGGATTTCCTAGTTTTTCATAAACTATATATATATATATATATATATATATATATATATATATATATATATATATATATATATATATATATATATATATAT